TTTAAATGCAAATTTTCTAAAGTACTCACCTTCTATCCCACTATAGTCACTCTAAAGTTCTGTAATTGTTTTTCAATTAACTTCAGTTTTGTTTCGTATTTAATGAAACTTACACTGATAAGCAGTGTAAGTTCATAAACACAAAAAATAAATATAAATTCAATTACACATTACTTTTAGGCGTTTGGTAAAAAGTAAAAACGATAATAAAGTCGAATGACAGATTTTTGCAAATATACTCTAGGTTATCTCTATTAAATAAATGCATTATTATACAATCAAGTTCATTTATAAATATAAACTGAGTTGTTTATTTATAAACATAAGTACTTATTTACTTAAAACAAAGGACGTAAACATTTTGCACTGCTTGCATATGTTTACTATTCATGAATGACAAACAATTAGGTCGAAGTGTTTTCTTAAATAAAAAATTAATACAAAGGAGTTTATTTTACTTACCGCAAATACTAATAAACTTGGTCTCGAGCATTATTATTATTTACTTTATTATCTCTAGTACTTTAGAATTAATTAGAATTCTAAACTTGTGATGGTTTTTGTAAATTTTATTTGTCGCTTTTAATATTTCTTAACTGTCGGTTTCTGTCTTTGTTAATGTTCTTAAGCTATTTAAATAAACTACTGACCAGAAAATATTCAGGTCGTTCGTATTTTTCAGTCCATTTATTACATGCTCGAAAGTTTTTTTTAATTGGGGCGAGGATATAAGCTCGTGATTTTAACCGAGTAACTTCAAATTATATTTCTTGCGTTTGAATTGTTGAACGACTTTATTTTCAATTATTTTTTTTCTAATTTATGGAAGTATACGCATTTTGAATAGCAAAAAATTGTCTAACATTCTAGTTTAATTACCCTTTTACATATTATGATGTAGATTATTCATTCTTATTCATTCAATTTTAAAACTTATAATTATTTAAAAAAATTCAAATAACATACACTTTATCGTAACTTAAACGCAAATTTTGACAATTGACTCGTTAAAAAAATCACTAAGGTGGTCCTGAATAGTTTGTTTAAAACCTTTTTACTTTTTATTTATTTCTTTTCATATTTTTGATTACTATATTTCAAAATAGCATAATTTTCTTTTATTATAATTTATTCCGATGTCGATTTTATTAAAATTAGAATACGAGTGACTACCATATGGTATTATTGCATTTTAGGATTCCTCAATAGGAAAAAAATAGAGTCACTATGTTGTCTGTCTGTATGTCCATCTGTGATAGCTGATTTTCTCTAAAACTACTGGGCCAATTGAGTTGAATTTTGGTATATACATATAAAATGTCAATCAATGAATTACAAAGATTCTTTTGGGGATAAAATAAAATGACGCATAGAAAACTACATAAATTTTATTTTGAAGTAAGCATTATGATACTTATTTTTTTTAAATAGGGGAAAATTATATTTACCCCCTGATATCCGAAACTCCGGGATTTAATAAACTTTATAAGTCTTTACAAAGTTTTATCTATAGATTACAGGAAAATCAATGAAAATGTCTATACGCATATGTATGATAAGGAGAAATGATTGATTGTTTGTTTGTATCGAGCAGGCTCCGAAACTACACCATTGATTTTAAGAATTCTTACACCTACGAGAAGCTATAAGTTATTATAATTGACGATTACAATTGACAAAGTCGCGGAAAAACAGGCGCGGAAAAACAATTTTCACGCGCACTTTATTTATTAGATATATAAATAAAATAAATACTCCTTAAATAAAATTAACTTTGAACGATTTTATCAAGTTATTACATTTTTCAAGCCTTCCGTATTTTTTACAGGTTCTGTGTAACTTTTTTTTTTTTGTAGAAAATTTATTGTTTTTTAAATAAACACGATTAAAACTTTTTAAAGAAATTTGATATTTGTGCGAAATCCTCTGAACGGGAGTTCGACTCGCGCTTAACTTTGTCATTTTATAAAACAAAATTTTACCCAGACATTAAAAGGCCTACGCAACGAAAATCTGATAGAAGTTACTAAATACACACATAGACAGGTTTTATTATTTATTAACGTCTAGATTAATGATACATTTCTGTTACATAAAAGTGGAATCATTGAACCGTTTTAACGATGATGTAAAGCGGGGGTCGTCGTGTTGACCCGCCGCCCTCCAGACAGTATGGCGACCATGCCGCCACCTGACGTCAACTGGCGCTGTTGCTGAAGGACGCCGCCATCTGCCAGTCACATGCCCGTCTATTCGCTACAAAGAAAACTATGTACATAAAAACGCAATAGGTCATTAAAATGAAAAATCTTTGTTAATAGCCTTTTTATTGTAATACCAGTAATACTCTATAGTTCAATAAGTACAGTAATGAGTTATTTTTTGTAGTTCAACGGCAATAACAATTTAACTCGCCAGACAGTCAAGTTAACTCGCTACTGTACTTTTGAAGTATACATGCAGCTTATGAATGTTCCTACTACTGAGACGTGCAAGTATTCTCTGTGGATAGAATAAAGTAGGAAAAACGGAGCACGGAGGAGCTCGATATAATAAATTTTTGGTTACCCATCTTATGGCCAAACTTTACAAAAGTAGCTTAACCTCCGCATCGCAGACTCAGAACATACACGCTTTACACTATGCCATCGTGTTCCTCAAAAAAAAGAAAAACACTAATTTTCAATTGTTTTTCCACAAAGAAATAACGTAAAAATAAACTGTAATTGAAATTGCGAAAACTACATATACCACAATGTAAAGCACTGAAATGGTCACAAACATATTTATGCACTCCTAATTTTACTTTTTTAATATAAAGAAAATTGATATATATGTGAGCTACTTTGTAGCCAACGACTTTACAAAGAATCTTTTCAATACTCTTAATGGGCTGCGAGTAATTATATTGTTTTGCATCTTTCATCCTTGTCTATTAAATAGTATTAGTATGAATAAGTAACTAAAGTACTTGTATTAAGAAAATTTGAGTCACCGAAAATACACAAACACCCAGAATCGAGACTAACTACATAAAACATCCATTAACGAAACATCTCTTAAACGGTTTCATCGCCATTTAGGTTCTGTGTGCACATAAGACTAAGCTGTTGGTTGTTAACACCTTAGTCTTCAATGTCAAAGTCAAAGTCAAAATAATCTTTATTCAAATAGACTTCTTAAAAGTACTTTTGAATCATCCAACATTTTTTTCCCTACCACTCGTTCAGGACGTCTTTTGGCTGATAAGAAGAACGAGCAAGAAACTTACCAGATCTAATAAGAGTAATGACATTTACAAAAACCATGTTAAATATTATAAACAGAGATAGAATAATAATAAACGTCAATAAAACTAAATGCACGAAACGCAAACCCATCGCAATGAAATCGTTAAAAAGTTGTTTCTTATACTTTATTATATATATAGTTTATTACTTAATTTATTTTTCCACAATGGATTTAATATATGTTATTAATTCACCTCTTCAGAACGTCACCAAATTATTTCCAAAAGAAGTTTATAATTGATAAATGGTTTTCACCAAGGAGGTTTAAAATTTAACGATTATTTCTTGATTGATGGTCAACAATCACAATATCTGGTTCTGATCACAAGTCAAGGAATGGTTGCCACCACTGAATGACTTTTTAATTTGTTTATACATGCTAAAAATGTGCTCTGAAAGCAAATGAAATCCTGAGATATTTTTTTGTCACCTGGTTTCAAGAATGCGCATACTTCTAAGATTTTATATGATAGGTATTTTTGAAAATATTCTGTTAGAACGTTCGGTATTGTTTTACATACCTAATTAATGGTCTGATAAAAGTAGGGGGGGGGGGGGGAGGAATTGAAATTTGATAACATTTCTTGCATGTTATAAAATTAATGGATGGACAACAGATATTTTAAAGTAGATTAAAAATATCAATTATTAGCTTTTAAAAAATGTTGTTTTGATACGTCTTAAGTAAATTTAAAAGTATCTCGTAGAAAATAATTTATTTTTTTAATATTATAATATTTTTTTAATTATTTTTATAATATTTTTTTAATAAGTAATTTTTTTAATAAAGATGATGATTAGCGCATTCAATCTGCGATGCGGAAATGAAGTAACTATCACAAAATTCAGGATGGGTGACCCAAAAATTATTATCTCGAGTTTTTCTTCTCGCCACCACGTTTCGGAAGACACGTTCAATCGGTGATCTTGAATCTGCAATCGTTGACATCTACCAATTCCATTCTCCTTATTTGAATTGCTTCGAGTCCAACCATTGGGAAGAATTATGCCCCAGATTTGGGAATATTAATAGTTTGGCAATGATGATGGTTGAACAGTTTGAATTATTTGAACATTTCATAAAGTAAAAGAACGTCTATCATATTCATTATCTATTATTGTTTGTTCATTATTTATTCGTAGATAAATATTTTGCTAATGACGTGTAGGTACAAGTTTGGCATCATCATCATCATCAGCCCTTTTATATCCCCATTGGAGGGCCTCAGGCCTTCCTTATGGATAGTTTGCATGCTGACTTAATTAATGACGATTGGAGGGTATTAACGATTGTCAACAGACTCTAATTTTAACTGCTCGTAACCATATTACCACCATCGAAAATATTGCAGCAAAGATATCAATCCTATATTGCTTACTTGGTGAGAGGTAAAAGTATTGAAGACAAAGCCACAGAACACAAACCAATACTAATTAAGTTCAGTTTTATAGTTTTAAGGTTATTATTTACACTTTATTAAGTGTTAATCTATAAAACACAAAAAAGTTCTTTTATGACACACACGATAACAAAAGAATGCCTTGCACTGTATTGCATATTAAAAAAATTCAAATTATTTATGAAAACAATCGTAACAAATATGATTTTATGATACACGTGGACATTCCTTACATTTAAATGGCAATGGCAACTCATAAAAAACCTTTATAAGTGACAAACTAAGCTAGTACCTCTGGACATACATCAAAATGTTGGCATTGAAATTGTTGGTTTTAGTATTATTATCAAATTTAGTTTTTGGTTGGCGTATCACAGACGAAGTACAAAATAAAAAATATTTAATTGGGACTCCTAGAAATGATGATTATACGAAATTAAAACCAAAACTGGCAATTACTGATAAAATACAAAAGATTATAGATATATTTAATAATAAACCATCAACAAATAATGAAACTATAAATAAAAATTTAATATTAAACGATGACATTACAACTGAACGATCAAATGATGAAACTACAACTGAAAAATCAAATAATGAAACCACAACTGAACAATCACATGATAACGCTACAACTACAAATGATGTTACTACAGAAAATCCAACAACAACAGATGAACCAACGAAAACGTCAGAGGGACCAGGTAAATATAATTTAATTGTAGAAGTAAAATCAAATAGCTTGTCACAAAGAATTTTGATGATTTTTTATTTTTCCACAAGTACAAACCTGACAAAAACTACAAATGACATACATAACATCACATACACCGATTTCAAGTTTATGTTGTTAATCTAAATCGTGGCAAATAACAAATCATCAAACCTGCGATCTCAAAGTTTGCAATACTTTATATAATACTTTAAAAATTCATATTGTCAGTGACACTGCTGACGGCGATTAATTCTTTTGTATTTTATTTCATATCTCATTATGTCAAAGTAACTTCTAATAATCAAATACTTTATGTTACAGAACCATCTACATGTAACAGCAGTCTGTACTCAATAAAAGATTTAGAATTGATTATTGATTATATAGTCAATAATAGTGCAATTTTCACAAATATTATTAGTGAAATTAATAATAATACTACACAAATTCGTGATATTTTTTTGGGAGATATAAAACAATTCTACACATGTTTAGAAAATGGAATTGAACATTTAGATCATATACTTAAAGGATTTAATGATACTCGCAAGAAATTAGAACCACGTCTTAAAAAAATAACAGAATCATTTGAAAATTACACCGATTTACTGAACAGTTTTCAAGACCAAAATAATACGGCAAATAGTTTATTTGAAAAATTTAAAAAAAGTAATAACATATGCGAATTTGGATGTGGAAAAAGTATTAAACCAGGTCAGTTGTTATAATGTTGTTGCAGTAATTACTTCTAGTTTTATATTTTTTACATTTATACATAATTTTGATATTACAGAAAGGGCGAATGTTTTAAGAAATTTACAAACGTATAATCCAGAAGAGTATTATTGTGGTTCTATTGAAGAAATAAGAGCTGTAATATTGTCTAATTTCATTACGTATTCCAAATCCCTACAAAATGAAATGAATGATCAAATAAAAAATGACATTGAAAAAATTAAGAAAGAAGTCGACACAATGAAGAATGACATAAAAGATATTATACTCAAAAAATTTGATCGTACTTTTTATGATATTTTACAGTTGCAAGATGATTACAGTCATTTTTCTGAAAATGTTAATAAAGCAGATATTAATAAAATAGAGGAAATAAAACTGAATACAGCCGAGTTGTTACCGAAATTGATGTCATTCAAGGACACACTTTCAAAGTTTAACAAATTTTGTAGAGCTTGCGACAATGATCTGGCTTTGCATTATCTCAATGGTAAGTACAAACAAGATTCCTAGCATTTATTCATATAGCAAGGACAATAAGTCGAGGACTCGTTAATTTATAACTTTTTAACTATTGATACTCAGTTGTATAAGTCTGTTCAGTACCTTTTCCATATACAGCACATCAATAAAAACACCACCTAAACAGTATTTGTGCCGCTAGTTTGCATGTATGTCATTTTTTCTTATTGGTGAAAATTCTGTTTATATACTTGGAAGAGCTGTTTGGAGAATGCTGTTTGAAATCCTTTGACAGTTGAAGTCTTTTTTACTTTCTGTTATAAATAAATGCATGTTTGTTTACTTTTTGCAGCAAAAAATATAAGTGACGAGACTGAAACATACAATCTTTTGAATAAAATAATTAAAGCTAAAGAAGATGAAGTCGCATCTGTAATAAAAGAAAATTATTTTAATGTACTTAAACCTCTGAAAGATCAGCTGTCACCTCCGTATAAAATTGATTTTAACTATATAGGAAAAATTTATAAGGACGTTAGAGTAAAAATTGAAAATGAAAAAGCCATATTTGTTAATCTTAACAATCATTTCGATCCACTTTTGCTTATAAAAGTCGAAAACTTACATAAAGAATCAACAGAATTGTTAGAAAATATTGATAAACATACGGATCTTATTAACAATTTCATGGAAAAAAAATAGTATATTCGTTTATTAAGTCCTTATCTTTAAAAATAAATATATATTAGGATATACGTACTATATAAAATGAGGTTTTTTTGTGTCAAAGATTTACAAATATCGTCCTCTTATATTACTTATTGGTTGGAACAATGATGGGATGATCCATAGGCATTTCATAAATATAATTTTTAATAATCCCATAATTTTTAGAAAAATGTTGTTGTAATATTAAATAACAATTAAATACTAACTGTAAGCAATGTAAAGCATGTAAGTTCATCGCAAGGAACCAAATTCAAACAAAAAAAAAAAAGCAAAGATCAGCATAGTCAGCAACAGAAGATTTATTTTGGGAATTATAAATGTCCATTAAACAATTTCTATCGTTACATTGTTTTTACAATATGTCAACCCTATCAACAAAGTTGTAGGTAGATGGAACGTTCATTGTTATGGCAAATAAAATGAAATTCGAATAATACTTTTGTCCTGTTAAAGAGATATCCTTTTGGCTGTGTAAATAATGAAGGGTGAGCGACCGGACGGTCAGCGGCGGCGTACCGATTCTCTTTAATAAACCTGAATAGGTATTGTGCGCGGACGCATACAAAAGTGTTGTTACTTTTTCTAAATTCGTAAAGCGAGGTATTGAGGCGTCGACATGAATTTAAGGGACGTGTTGTGTTTGCAACGGCTACAAATAGGTGATACAAGCGCGTGTTAACAGCTTTATGATTAGTATGCAGCTGGGTATTACGTTTCTATAGCCATTTTTAGGACTCCGTACCATGAAAAGAATAACTAAACACTTATTATTCGATTTTCCGTCTTTTGTCCTTCTGTCACAGATGATTAAATTTGGTACACAAATCTAAGTCGTTGATTAATATGCGCCTATGAAACAATAGAGATATATTTATAACATGGAAGCCACTTTTGCGGTTAAATTATAAGAAAGCATATTCAAAAAAGTGTCACAAACTCGGCAAATACACTGAGTAACGTATAAATGAATGGACTCATTATGAGAATGTTAAATATATATTTTTTTGTAAAATAGGATAAATAGTTTTGAACGTTATGGCTTAAAGACAAGTAATAATAATAAGTATACCGCGTTATTGGAAGTGTGGTTTCGCTTCTGGACGTTGTTAGAGATGGGTAAAAATATTTATGATGTCGATTGTGATAAATTGTTTTAACATAAGCACATATTTATTATTTATTTATTTGTTTTTACCCATCTCTGAAAACTTCTAGCCAAGTGCTTTAACGTAGACAAAGCTACTTTAAAGCACTTAAACTATTTTAACGTAAACAAAGCTTCTTTAAAGCAATTAGCTGTATATAATAAACAAGCATAGTAATTGTAACTCTATGCTGGTAGTTTACATTAGGTTAGATTATAAATAATGTAGAAAGATTGCTTATATTATAAATTGACAATGCTTATTTATTTGAGAGTGACACATACACTATGTATACGTCACCGTAAATTGAAAAAAAAAAACATATTATATCGGTTAAGATTAGTTTAGGCACAGATACACATAATCTATTTAGGATAGATTATAAAAAATTATAGAGATATGATAAACTGACGAAAGTTACCATTTCACATTGACATTAACACTGAACTTAAATTAAATTTATGTAAAGATCTATTTGATTTTATCTTTATGTTATGACAGTGCTGTGCTCTACGTCGAATTCCAGGCTGTTTTTATAATAGGATAGCACTGCTGACTATTTAGCTCTTATGTGCAGAGGTCTATGTGATTAAAAACTTATAAATAATTTTAACATTTCTTTCCCTTCCTTTCGCGCGTCCTCTCGAGTTAGATTTACCGAGTTTGAGCAGCATTTTTTTCTGCAAACAAATGTCGATTATAAATTCTTATCTGTTCCTATTAAATCAAATAACACTGTACTTAAAGTGCAATGGTTGTTAATATTTTCACTGATGGAAATTTCATCCGTTATCACAAAATGAAAATAATTCTATACGGCATAATTGTTAATTATTATTTCTAGAAGTGAGGGGTCAAACATAACTAACTTACAGTTTAACATAGATATGTGATGCCTAGGAATTACGTAATATATCTACTTTGTCAATCTGCATTTCTCCCTGCTTGTTCACATTCTCATATTTAACTTTAAGGAAGACGCCATTTTTAATGTTTGCTTGAGATTTCTGTGTCCACTCTGTTATTTTTATTTTATTTTATATTTTATTCTCTCTTATTCGTCTATTGAAATAAGCACGTAGAGATCGATTGCAACCTGCATAGATCACATCCACTAATATCTTACTGCCAAGTTACGGCTAAATGTACCTTCTGAAGCACAGAGGAAAACAGGATGATTGGTTTTTGGGAAAGTTTGCATCATCGAACTCCCCATAATATTATCCTATAATATTTTTTCAAAAATACAAGTTCAAAGGTAGTTTCATTTGATTGTTTGTTTGTTAGCACCTATTTATAAGCTAATTACTGAATTGATTTTAGAAATTATTTCACTTATGAGAAACATGTCATTTGTGAGTGACATAGGATAATTATTTGCGTAGGCGAAGTCGCGGGACGGAAATAGCTAGTATCTTATAAAATACAAAGTTGTGTCATCATCAGCCCTTTTGCATTGTGTGACAAATAATACTAACAGATTTTTGATTTGATTTACTTTTTAAATTATTGACACGACTTAAAGTTAACTGATAACTATTGTAGGTACTTTTGACATTTCAAAGTTATTAAAATAAATTGGTTTTTAAAAGTATCTGAGATCCAATTAACACAATGTCTATAATGTCAAGTGAACTTTAAAAATTATAATTGCACAGTAACAACAATGACTCGATAACAAGACTCAAAGGTCACTTCAAAAACTTTATTCTATTATCACTTTTCTACTTACTTACTTACAATAGTGCCTTTATAGGTAGGTAATGTGTCTTAACAATGATTGTACAAAGTCATCGTCTGGTGCCTTTAATTGTTAGGATCCAATTTGTATATAATAAAGCCAATTCAAAGTTATCTGAGCAGAATGGCGGGCGATCGAGAGGTGTCAAGTCATGCACATTACACTTGCATTAGACGACACGATTTTTTTTTAAATAAATAGGTATACGACTAAATGGATCAAACAAATCTTATGCATTCAAAATAGCGCCATTCAATTGAATAAAAATTAAATGACCTATTTAAAATGTCGATTGCATGAGCTTAATTAGGTACCGATTATATTTTAACTATAAAAACATATACACAGTACTCTTTATACTGAAAACTCTAAATATATGTGAGAAAAAGTTTATTTTGTTTATTATTGTACATTGTGATGTGGTGAGAAACGAACGAATATAGACGCCGTCAGATATTAAGATGTAACGATACCGCACATATTATGTAATTAAGTAAAAATTCCATCGAAAACACAACCTTTTTAAAAAGAATTTTATACATGATTTTGCTGTTAGTTTATTCAAATAAAAAAGTTTGCTACAAGCTCATTTAGATTCTCTTTTCTTAACCCATTTTGTTTTTAGGCGCGAGGCCCTTTAGACTACGAAGCCGTTGGCTGGAGCCTACACCGCCCACATCTTGCAACGTCTATATACATACATCTAGGTATTAAATGTATATTGACGTTGTAAGACGTATACATAGGTCTCTAAATGGACAAACTTTACGGAGTACTTAAAATATGAAATTTCTGGGTTTAATAGTGGATTGTAAATTTAGTTGGAAAGAACATTTAGGAAAAGTGTGCAATAAATTATTAAGTAGCAAGTGTTAATATGGCTGTCATGGCTTACTTGACATATGTAGACTCCATCTTAAGATATGGTTTATTAATTTGAGGGAAGGGCACTGACATAAATATTTTATTTATTGTGCAAAAAGGAACATTCGTACTATATGCATCTTAAGGACGGATATTTGTTGCAAACCCTACTCCTTTATAATAATGTTTTACTTGAGAAATCCTGAAAGGCTAGTTTTGAAACACGTCCCGAAGGCTGATGGATTAAAAAATAGCTATGCCATGCGTAGAAATATAAAATACCAATCATTTCAAACAATTACCGTTTACTTGGATTATGTCTACCTTACATAAATGGTTATTAGAAATGGCATTTTACTGAATAGACATTTTTTTGAAAAATGAAATTTGGCAAATCAATATGAAAATGCTATATTAGTTAACATAAAGTTAAATTGCGGATAGTTTGAAGTCCTTTTATGGCATTTTTATTTGACATTTTTGGAGAAAAAAGCAGCCCTTGCCGAGTTTCTTGCCGGTTCTTCTCGGTACAAGGTCTCCCGCCGTAGATTTACGAACCGTTGGCGTAGCTCTCGACTTTCACAAGTGCTTGTAACAGCCTAGATTGACTAAATAAATTTGATTTTGATTTTTTGATCATTGAAATTAGTAACATTTGTGGTAACATGTTAATTTTATCTAATGACACGAAAATAATCCAAATTTATGAACTAGTAATAACAAACAATTTCATATTTGCATGCTATATATGTATGGCTAAAAAAGGTCCTAAGATCTAACTTATTTTAATATTACCTAATGTAATTGTACCCCATTTAAAGGCAAATGAATAATATTCTATTCTGTTTAGGTTTTTATTATTGAATGTGCAAATTCACTATTATGCGGCTATATACCCAGGCCTCTAGTGTTTGTTCAGTTGGTTCAGCCAATGTCGTAGGATGTAAACGCACCCCAGCACTGTCTGCGGTCGGTGCAGTGTCAATGCAAGGACAGAGGTCACAGTCTCGCCGCGACGTCATCACCCACCGCTCACTCAAAAACATTGACCACTTTTTGTTTTAGAACCGCAGACGAGATATCCAGTTGCGATATTATTAATTTTATCAACGACATTTTGACGTTCTGTTTAAGATTAAAATAAATATTTTATTTGTATATAAACACAAAACAGGATTCTACAAAGTTAGATACAGTTTCCCTCACAAACAAAATATACTTGT